TATATATTGACTCATGTTAAAAAAATGATAAATTGATATTAAAAGATTAATTATTAAAAAATATATACATATAATAAAATTTTTTCTAAAATTAAAAATAAATGTTGTTTAATATTAAACAATATAATTTATAAGTAATTAATGATTATTTATTATAATTAATAACATAATAAATAAACAAGTAGGAATATTTATACATGTTGTCTATTAATTGTATTATTCAAATTATTATGTAAGTTTTTGAATGGACAATTAATAAATAAATAGTATAGTTAATAAAGAGCATGTGGAATGATCTTTATTTATTATAGATATTTATTAAAAATGATTATTTACTACTTATAAATTATAATATTTAATTAATACAAAATTTATTTTACAGTTATATTTAACTAAATCTATATAACTTTTAAAGACATATAACCTAATATTAACTCTATTATATATTCTTCTCCTGAGATAACATGTACACTATACACTTATTATTATTCAAAATACCATGCATTACGAAAAAAGCCAGTAGAAATTAAAAAAAAATTTCACTCGTATGTATATTTGCATAATTTTTTTTTTAGTACACACACCAAAGCATATAATATTGTCTACGTGCTTTTGTTATACACATGGTTAATAAAAAGTATTATTAACCCTTTTGAGAATGAAAAGTAATAGTTGTATGGAAAATAAATAGTTATTCATGTAAGCTATACATAAAAAAATAAAAAAATTAATTATTACTATTTTTTGTTTGACTTTTGTAAATTAAAATATATAAAAGAAATATATTCATTTTTTTTTTCTTTTTTGAAAATGATTATGTTATTGAAATACAGAAGAAGGAATTGTTAACAAAAAGTTTCTTCCAATATATTTTTGTTTATATTTTTATAAGAAAATTTTTTATTGACAGTAATAAAATTTTTGTGTTTTGTAATATTTTCATAATTTACTTTGTATTTTGTTAATTATTTAAGTTTTGTTAATTTCAGGGTAATGAATTTAAATTACTAAACATTACTCATAACATTATAAATTGGCATATGTAATTGAATCGATAATTGAGGATTTAAACTTTTAATAAAAATATAAGATTTTTATTAAAGTAAATAAATCCATCTTTAAAACAATAAATAATGATGTAGATTATATAAATATAGTTTACTTGTTTATAACATTAAATCTAAATTTAAATTCATTAAATTAATAGATGAAGTTCTACATACTGTTTATTAATATGTTTATTCAACATGATAACAAAATCACTGAATATGCAATTAATAAATTAATAATAGACAAATATGTTAACTAAAAAAATATTTATGTTTCCATCTACTATTCATTGTTATTTTACTAGAATCTAAATGAGAAAATAATATTAAAAATTATATTTATCGTTTTATTATTTTAATAATTTATATGGTATTATATTCTTTAGCATTGTTTATGTGATTTCTATATGTTATATTTTTTACTTTAGAATGTTATACTAATAAAAGATGACTTTTGTGAAATATGCAAAAATTAGCTTTATAAAAAAAAAAAAAATTAAAAATATATAAATTTTAATAAAGTAAATTATATTTATCTCAACATAATTTCTGAAATTAAAAAAAAATTAATTTAAAAAAAAAAAATAAACATATTTAAAAAGCTTATACATACTTAATTTAGTTATCAGCAATACGTCAAATAAAACAATAATAATATATATCTATTTTTTAAAATCCCTAATATAAAATGTTTTTATATTTTTTAAAAATATCTTACAAATAAATAACGATGATATTTTCACATAATATATTTTCAGAACATATCAAATATATATAATTTATTAAAAAACCCATATAAATAATTTAAAAAAATAAAAATTATATAAAAATAAAAAACAATTTTATATATTATCTATCTATTTTTTTTTTTTTTTTAATATATATTAAAAATAACAACATTAACTTTTTACTCAAAAAATGTAAATTTAATACAAAATATAAATGTTTTTTGTCATATGTCTAAGCAATTGAGTTTTTAAAATTTTCTATGAAATACTAACAAAAATATTAATAAAGAGCATATAAATTATCCTCTAATTATTTTATTTATCATAAATTACTTATTTTATATAGCATATAATTTCTATATAATATGCTAAATAAAATTAAATAAACAGTTTATTTTATATAAAATTTATAACTACTTTAAATAAGATATTCCAATTGAGTACTCTATTTTTTTTAACATATTAATTTAATGAATTTTATTCATATAATTTAATAGAATTTATCACTTGTTTTTATTAAAATATGCTTTATTATAAATTTATTATAGCCAAAATAATCCTCAAAAAAAAGGAAAATATTATAATTTTTTTTTATCAGATATAACTAAGATAAAAAATCATACTACTTTAAAATATCGTTAAAATTAACTTTTTTTTTTATTTTTTTATATCAATTCATTTTCATTATGAATGTCTTTTTTCTTTGCGTATGCATTCTTTTATATATATTAAATTGATAACTAGACTTTTATCTATATTTTATTGTGTTCTAGTAAATATTTAAAATGATCAATAATACTCCTTGTTGACCATTAAACAGTTAAATTGAAACTAACGCATTTTGTTATAATAAGAATTCATTATGTTTTATAATTTAAATTCATTATATTTGCATGAGTTCTAATATACGAGGATATTTCTTAGTTTATTATTAATCATATTCATATAAAAAGAATTTTACCTCATTTTTACATTAAAATAAACAGTAAATTATTAAAAATATATACTTTAACGTATTGTAAAGTTTCTTAGATGAATATAAAGAAAAGTTATTTTTAAATGTTACCTATCATGTAATTTCAAATAAATTTTACAATTTGAATATAAATGAAGTATAATTATCTATATTATTATTTTTGTAATTATAAGCTATTAGGTAAAATATTTACTCGTGAACGTTAATAAAAATTTATATACTATACTTAATTTAAATATGCCTATATTTTCTTTTAACAGTATATAAAAAAAAAAATTTTTTTTTTTTTTTTTTAAATTATTTATTTTCTCTGACAAATTATGTTTCGTGTGCAAAGTATTTTCTTTTAAAAATATCGATTTCAAATTTCGAAATTTTCATTTATAAAATACTATGAATTCATAAAAATTTATTAAAAAGTTTATAAATTAATTTTTAAAAAATCAATTAATTCAAATCTTTAAAAAATATAAAAGAAATTTATCATTTTTATAATTTGAATTTTGTTTATTTCTATAATTTATAAATGCTTTATATCCTACTCCATCTTTATTACCAAAATTATTAAAATATATTTTTTTTACTATTTGTATTAACTTTTATAATAATATTTTTAATTATTCCTTTGGTGGGCATTATAAAAATAAAAACAATTTTATCTAAATTTATAACTTTTATATCTAATAACTTAATTTAAATTTCTTATTTTACATTATGAGTGTTTATATTATTTTAATTAAGAGATATTTCATTTTATATAAGTTCTTAATCTATTTAGTTTATGTAATTATTTTTATTATATAATTTATATATGAGTAAATAATTGCATGTATATAATTTTAATTTATTATTTTATAAAATTAACTATTGTTAATTTACTGGGTTAACATGATAAATATCTTTAAACTAAGTATAATTTAACTCTTCTTTAATTATCCTAATCATATGAATTTTATTTTACGCATAATAAATTCTTACAGAATTGTGTAATATATATAATAAATATTTTTATTTTTATTTTATTTTTTTTTTTTATCCTAATCTATATTTTCATATCATTATTTGCTTATAAAAAAATAGTTTTACAAATGAAATTTCATTTTTATTCTTCTACTACAAATTATTTATCTGATTACATAATTATGTGCTGTGATTAAAATGAAATAGTGACTGCTAATTTACATTACAATTATAACATAAAATGTTTTTTTTATTACATTTTTTTTTAAACTATTGGTGTACAAATTTAATAGCCATTAGTATTTTTACATTAATTTGTATAATATATATCATATATATTTTTAATTGTCTCTTATATGAACAATTAACTTTTTACCTAATGAAAAATTATTTTAGAATAGCTGTAATTAGCGTTACACTTTACAAAATAACCTTTTAACATTTAAATTTTCTTTAAGGTTATTTCAAATATATAAAATTATTCAATGTTTTGCATATTTATTTCTAGGGGATATTTATATATACCGCCAAAAATATACATTATGTAAAAATTTTACATAAATACATATATTTTTTTTTAAATTAATTTCTTTGATAGTTACAAAAAAATATATATATATATATATATATATAATGAATATAGTATTAACAAATAACATTTCATGTATTTATTCACATATATATATATATATATATAAATTAAATCTTTAGATTATTCATGTGTGTTCTTAATAAAAAAATATACATTTATTTATTATTTTTTTTTTTTTATTTTTATAAATACTTGAAATAATATATGTGTAGAGCATATTAATTATTAACTACATTTTATTTTTTATATATTTTAAATATATTTATATAATTTGTATATGTTCCATGTAAAAATATATAATTCATATGTTTCTATATTGCTATGTATTTTAACATCTTTTATGGTTGTTCATTAGACTTTTTATTTTAATAATTAACTAAATGCATACGTATACAACTATTTACTGTTAACTTCTTAATATTCTTAATAATAAATACAAGAGAATTTATAAATTTTATAATTTATTTGAATATAACATGAATAATCTATATTAAAATAGTTCATAAACTTCTATTAATTTATATTTTAAAAATTATAATTTTTTATACCTCATATAAATGAAAAATTAAATTATTTTATATTCTTACTTTTTGTTTTAAATTTATAAGACTTTATATTCATTTTGTTTTAAGGTGTTATTTCATGTTAAATGATAAATCAACAATTTGACATAAAAATATATTTCTCCAAGAACGTTAATTTTCGATTAATTTAATATATATTTTTTTAACCAAAGTATCTAGTATAATAGGTGTTATTATAATATTATACTTCGACGCTGAATGATAAATTTTTCCTCTTATATAATCAGGGTCCCGTATATAAAGTCGTAAATCTTCTCTAGTATCATTATACTGTTTCTTTATTTTTTCTGTCATAAATTCTTCAAATGCTTTTAAATTAGCTGGAATCTCGCATCGAGGATATCTAAAGTATCTTTCACCCTTTGATACATATTTTGGTTCTTTAAAATCCATATAAGGGGTGGTACGCCCACTTGACAACTCACTTTCAGGTTCTTCAGTGGATGCACTGTACCCACTTGATACACTTTCTGTTTCATAAGAAATGCTTCTAGACCCACTTGATGACTCACTTCTAGTTCCATCAAATGAATTTAGTGAAGAAGAATCGTCCTCGTTATTTAATGAACTTGCAACATTTCTTAATGAATTACCATTATAGATAAGATTATCTTCTGGATAACTTGATAAGCATACCTTTAATAAATTAATAACAATTAAAAAACTTAAAAAATAAAATGTTTTTGAAATTTTCATCTTGAGATAGAAAATAAATAAAAAAAATAAACTTTCTTATGTAATAAAAATTATTATTTAGATTAATAATCTAAATAGATAGTACAAGAAAATATATTTCTAATTTTCTTATTAGAAGTATTTAAACTACAGTTTAATCTTCTTAGAACTAAAAATAATTTTTTATTTTTTTATTTTATAAAGATTTTTATTTTTATTTGAAGGGAATTTTGATATTTTTTTTATTCTTCATTTGTAAATATATTTCATTTGCATGCAAATATAAGAAAAAGTAAAATTCAATTTTTTTTGGCTAATTTTTTTTCACACGAAACTAGTAATTTAATAGTATAAAAAATAAAATATTTTTGAAGCAATTCCTTCAAAAAAAGTATCAATAGTTAGTAAATTAAAAATTTTGAAGTCTTATAATTTATTTTATTTTACCTAAAGATTCATGCATGCTATTTTTATATGGCTTTTAAGTTACTACCTTTTATATAATAAAAAAAAAATTTTTTTATCTCATAGTGTATTATTCATCTTTATATTATTTATTTTTATAGTACATCTAAAATAGTTTATTTTACCTTAATATATATTAATAAATGAGGAAATACATAATATACATTTTATTATTTTTTTTTCTAAATATCAAAAAAAAATGATAAGTAATATAAAGAAACTTTTGTTTTTTACATTTTTTACTAATAAGTTTTCATAAGTATATAGTTTTATGATTTTTCATTAAGATAAAATAGTATATAACTGAAAATCTAATAGTTTACATATTTGAGATAATGTGTACACTAAAAATATGTATTCTAAAAAATTATTGATTTTTTTTTGTGAAAGCAATGATAAATTTTTAGTGTATACTCATGATGAATATCTACAAATATAGAAGATATAAAATATGATTATTTAAAGAAATCAAATTTATTTTTGATGAAAGATAGTATATATTATATTTTTAGATAATAACATATAGAATATTATATTTTAGTATAAATAAAGGAGAATTTTTATTGAATTAAATGAACGTTTTTTAAAATTATATAATGTATATTAAGAATAATAAAGCATTGAAATTAATATAACTTTAATTAGAAAATTATAGATGTTATATTAAAATGGACATTTCATGTTAAGTATTTTATATTGGCTATAGTAGCTATAGGATAAAATTATTAAAGATTGCTTTGTGTTATTTTAACATAATTTCTCAATATTATGTAAAAATTTTTGAGAGTACAATTAATAGCATGGAGATTAAATAGATAATTTTTCTATTCATATTTTATATAATTGTAACAAATCATTCTTATCACATATCATAGTAAATGACTATTTTAGAAGCAATAAACTGAAACTAATGAATTTATTTTAAATAGAATATAATAGTTATCAGTGTTTTAATATATATTTAAAAAAATTGTTTTATTTATTATGTTGTAATTTGGTATATTAATCTTTATATATGTAAAGAAATTAACCTAAAGATCTAAATTATTGTCACGAAGTTTTCTATGATTTTTAATATAATCATTTTATATATGTTAATGTTCTAAGCATTATAAATAAAAAACTTATTTACCTATATACTTTACAACACATTATTCTTTATAGTATTTCAACGTAGTCACTGATTATAAAATTTTCTTTAAAGAGTATAAATTAAAAAAGCTTAATCTATATACAAAAAAATTAATTACAATTTTATGTCATTTCTTTTAAACCTCGGTGTTCTAAAAAAAAAAAAAAAGATATTTATTATTAATAAAAGATGTTATTATTCTTCTTTAGATAACAGTAAAATATATGTAAAAATTCATGCTCGCATAATGTATGAGAAAATATCATAACTATTTTTAAAGAAAAAATTAACGGTTAAATAAATGAATTTATAAAAAAAAAAATATTTTTTTTCTTTTTATTTTTAATTTTTAGAATGTCTTTTTTGAAATAAAAATTTTTTAAAAGGATCCTAAATAATTATGACAAAAATTTAATTATAGTTATAGATACATTTTATTATTCATGAAATAATCTTTTAAAAGTTGAATGTTTAAACATTCATGAGTAAATAGGTAAATATTTTATAAAATAATTTAAAATGTCTCATAAATTATAATGTTACAAAAAAAAAAAAAAAATAATGAGTTATATTATTTAGAAAAGCATAATTTCATATGAATTAAACTATTTGTTTCATGTTATGTAATGTAATTATGTATAAATTACATATTGCTTATATGAAGTATTTTTGTAATAAATAAATCTAAAAGATACCACTATACATATTCTTAATATGTTAGTTCAATATTTTGCAAAGTATTTAAAAAAGGCAAATAATAAATCAATTTATGAATAAATTTTTTCTTATCTTTAATAGAAATAATAAAATCCTTTTTTTTTTATTCCTATATGATAATGTTTTTATTTATATTATCAAGGTATTCTTTTAAATATATTTTTCATATAGATGATTCCTTGATTTATTGTTTATTCAATTATTTACTTACTGAGCAAACAAATTAATGAAGTGAAAGGAAAGTAGATTCTATTTTTTTTTTTTTTTTATTATTAAGATTTCTTCATAATAAATATATAAATTTTACATAATTACATAACATGAAGTACTTGTCTTATTTCATGTGAAATTAAATACCTTTAAATATGTTTATACTAACTTTATTTTTTTTATTCTTATATATTATTTAGGATTTTCATAAAGTTAAATAAAAATTTCTCTTTATTTTTATTATAACTTTATGTTTCTAAAAAAAATTATCATTACACATAAAACAATTTTTTCTCGTCTAATTTATTATTCTATATAAAGGTAAATTATATATTAAAATAAATTCATTCAATAATTCAGAAAAAGTCCTTTTCATATAAGTTCAATAAAACTGGTTATGTATCTTTTTAGAAATATATGATGAAAATCTAAAAATATACAAAATTTGCAAACTTGCAGAATTGCATAAATTTAAAAGAACGAAATATTTAAAAATATAAAAAAATTAAAAATGAAATGTGATAGTAAATATTTCTTTGTTTGGAAATTTTACTTCATGAATATTTTTTTTTAAATAAAAATTAATTATATTTAAGAAGATATATTTTAATGAAGAAAAATATATTTCTTTGTATATAATTGCATTGGTTATATATGTAATATTTTTACTTATCTCGTATATTAACAATGAGAAAAATAAAAATATAAAAATGAGATATTTTTATCAAAGGTGTTTCGTTTTTATTTATGTAAAAAGTATTTATTATATGTTATTTGATCTCTACATTATTAGGCTTACATCACCTAAGAGAACAAATAATAGCATCAAGATGTAGCTTTTTTTATGAAAGGTTTATCTTTTCGTTTTAATAAAATTTTTATTATCTACTAAACAAGAATTTATGCTAAAATTTACACATTTTTTAAAGAATTACATATTTTTAAAGAGCTTAAGTATTTGCATATGTCACAAAAATATTAATTACTGTAATAAACTTGTTATTAATTTTTTTATAAGATCCTTATCAAATTGTTTTCTCAATTTTATATAAAAGTGTTTAAAGGGTATATCATAAAATAATATCTCTGAAAAAAAATTCGTTCCTAAAAAAAAATATCTGTAAAAAAAGTTCAAATATTTTTTTTTTTATTGTAATATGTTTAGCTAATTATGTACATATTTTCTTAAAAACTCTGAATACATGTCTTTCCTTTCACATAAATAATACTAATTCAGATAATGAAAAAGGTTGATAATACATTTTATTAGCTATTCCTATAGTTTTAATATCATTTTTGTAACTATATTTTTATTACTTTTGTTACATATATTTCTTCTTTATTAGGGAAATTTACATTATAATTCCTACAATAATATCTAGACTTTTATTTTTTTTTTATTATTTTACTTAAAATTATTCACGTAAAAAAAAAAAGGAATATTAGAGAAATATTTTATTTCAACTTTACATATTAATCTTCTAAAATTTAACTAATTTGCCGATAGAATATTCTTTCATAATTATTAAAATAAAGTAATATTTCTTTTCTTCATATACTATATATTATTGTGGAATTTTTTGTTTTATAAAAATTCCCATTATATTATTTTCATTACAATTTCATAATATACTATTTCTATGTTAATATACTTAGATATAATGAACAATTGATAAAGATAGTGAATATTGATCTCTATAATACTTTTTATAAAATTACTTACTATAAACAAATGTATAATACTTTTATTATTACTCTATATAACATAAAACAATATATTTATTTAATGAAAAATTTATGACCTAACACTATGTTAAATCAATATATTATTATTCCTATAAGTTAAGAATTTATAAGAACATTCATATAGATTAATAAAAACTCTTATCTTTTCTTAATGAATACTATATAAGTAATATCTGCAAACATTTTATATTGTATTATATTATATGTATAATAACTTTGATCAAAATTTTTAATTTCATAATTGATAAAATTTGTCCATTTTATAAATAACAATTCATTAATTTTCAAAAAAAATTATTAGTTTTTCTTTGTTCTCAATTTCATATACATATAAAATATTTAAAAAAAAAAATTCACTCCAAAGAAAAAAAAAAAAATATTAAAAATCAAATAAAAAACATTTTTTTTTAGGGTTAATATTTTTACATTTACTTTATATTAAAAATTAAACAATTGAATATGTTCTATTTTATAACAATGAAATCTCAAAAAGGTACATAATATTCTATTGACCACTTAATAATACCATAATTATCGTGAAACTCAGATTTGAAAACGTACTAATGTACGTAAAAGTCATTTAACAAAAATCTGATAAAAATATTAACATTAATTTTTTTTTTTTAACTTAAAAAGAAAATATAATATGTTATTCTAGATTCCTTTCCTATATCCATGTTATGCAATGTTTCTAAATATTTTTATTATATCAATTTTCTTCTTAAAAAAAAAATTAAGGATCTTGTTCTTTATTCCAATTTTTTTTTATACTATATATATCTTTTTTATAATTTTCTTTTTATTGAAAGAAAAAATAATTTTAATACTTTATTATATTTTAAACTATAAAGTTGTTTTAAAGAAATATAAAGCAATATAATAAATGATAACATATATTTGAATTTCTACTCCATTATGTTATAATAATAGTAAATTTATTGTAAATTAATGAAGAGATATTAACTCTTAAAAAAATAATATACCATAATTTCATATTTATTCTTTCATTATTACATTTATTCATAAGAATCATAAAGAATATTTCATTTTCATAAAATTTTTATTTTCATATATGTCTTTAGGGGAAAGAATAACCTTTTTATCATTTATTACAAATATAAATATCATTTACTTAACGAATTTTCGTTTAATTTATATAATGAATATTTATATACTTTATTTCTATCAAAAAAAATTGGTTAAATCTGTATGCTAGTAATAAATGTTATTAACGTAAAGGTATTTTTAATATAAAATATGTTTCCTTAATGATGCTTTATTAAATGTTTGCTCATTGACTTTTCTAAAGTATTAAACAAAAAGCTAATAAAGAAAATGTACAGTAATCTCTATTAATTATAATTATTAAAAAAAATATATTCATGATCAAGTAAACTTTATATATGTAGTTTGCATAATTGAACATATTTTAGAGTGATTTATTTTATAGAATAAAAAACTTATGAAAAACTTAAATCCCATTAAAACTATTGATTACTTGTAAAATTGCCTTTTGAAATAAAATAAAAAATTCAAAATAGAGACATTAACAGTCTTTTAAAAATAAATAAAAATAAAATTCTTTTTATTTTCCTTTTAGGCCTCGAATTTAATTTTTTAATGGAACAAAAGTTAATTCTTCAGTGAAGAAAATTATTCTCTGCCTAAAAAAAAAAAAAAAAAAAAAAAAAATTAAATAAAAACAAAAAAAAATTTTACATCTAAAAAAAGAAAGATAAAACTTTTTTTTATTGTGTATTAATTAATTAGCTATTCTCTCAAAAAGCGAGTGTACTTATCAGACTTGTTATTTTCTGTACAATTTAACAACCATTATTTCTTAAAAATTTGATATATCCTTCATTAACTGATGATCAATAAATGGTATTATTAGAATTTTTAAATACCTAAATAAATAACGTAGTATAAGTTGAAAAATTCTCTCTTTACGTGAGGTATGTAAGGAAATGCCTTATTAGTATAGTTAAAAAAATTATTTTATAAATATATATATTAATAAAAAAAAAAATATTTTTTTTTTCTTATAGTTATTATATTTTTGAATTAAAATGAATCAAATTAAATGCATTTTTATTTCTATATTCTTAATTAATTGTAATAATTATTCATAAGAATCAATTTTTCATAAATGATTAAACTATTTTTTTTATCAAAGATCCATTTTTTTTAATAATATAAAACCATAAAGAATAAAGAACATTTTAATGTCAGAAATTTTCATAAGTATTTATATTTTAATAAAAATAAGGAGAATTTTTTATTCATTAGATAAATTCTTCCTGTAAAAATAATTTATACATTAAAAGTTATAAAAATATTGAATATATTTTAATTTAAAGCACTGTAAATTTTATAATAAATAAACTTTTTCATGTTATTTAATATAATTATATGATGACTATATATTCGTTATGGAAAATATTATATTAATGAAAAATATTAATGGTTTTTCTATAATCCATATATCAAATATTTTTCTCAATAATGTACAAAAATCTTTGAAAAGATAACTAATGAATCACTTATATCACCCTTACAATCCTTTCTAGATATGTCTTTGGAGTTATTATTGTATTATTATATTGATTTCTTATATAGATAATAAATGACTATACTAGTAAATTAAAAAAAAAAATTAATAAAGGACACATAGAGTAATCTCTACTAATTTTAATTATTGTAAAAATGTTTTTTTAATATACGTAAACTTTATATATGGTTTATATAATATAATGTTTATTGTTTTAGAAGGATTTGTTTATTTTTATAAAAAGTTATTATTATTTTTGATAAAAATTTAAATAATCATAAGAATTGTTGATTATGTATAAGATAATCTTTAAGAATAAACTAACGAGTTTACAATAAAGTTATTAACAATCTTTTAAAAATGTATAAAAATTAATTAATAATTAAAATAAAATCCTTTTTGTTCTTTTGAAGTTTTGAATTTAACTTTTTTATTGGACTAAAAATTAAATTTCTCAATGAACAAAATTATTCCACTAACAAAAAAAATTGAGTAAAAACAATTAACAAAACAACTTGCAACTAAAAAATAAAATTTTTTCTTCTTTTATTTATCTATTTTCTTGAATATATAAATTACATAAATAGCTTGTTATTTTTCACATAATTTTCTAATATTTCATAAAAAGTTAATAATTTCCGATATTATCCAAATAATTATATTAATTCTTTTTTTATAAGAAACAAATATATTATAAATTAATTCAGTTCTTTTTTTCTTTTAATATAAGTTATTATTTCTATCGTAGCACTTCGTATGTATCTAATTACTAAAAATCAAAATTTTTCATAAAGTAAAAGCATTTTTACAAGTAATAGAATATATTTTTATATTGGCATTTTTATTATTTAATTGATAATATTATAAAAAAGAGGATATATCTCATTATTATATTACTATAAAGTGAACTTAATATAATATGTATTACAATCATTGATACAAATGTAACACAACAAAAATACTTCATTACTCAATAAAAACATCCAACACAAATGAATATATAAAGAATATCATAATTGTAGAAGTTAACACATTTTTATATTTCTTCTCATATCCTTAGCAAAATTTTATAATACTTTAGTAAAATTCTTATAATTTTTGTATCTAAATATATTTTGGAATTTTGATATAATGTAATTTATTGCTTATAACTTTTACATTAATTAAAAAATGAAAATGTTCTCATATTCGTATTTTTATGTAAGTTTAGTTTAAATTTTATAATTAAAAATTATAAATTTTTTTTTATGTATATAGAAAAGTGTATTTTTGTTTTTTTATTTAATTTTATGATTTTAATTTCAATTAAAAAAACTAAAATTTAGACTTGCACATATTTTTTTAATTTATACTTTTATTTTATATTTGATTTCATATATAACAAAATATCTTCTATTATAAAATTCTAATTATATCAGAAATTACATTAAAAGAACCAATATATTTATATTTATTCTAAATTTCATAGTTCTGTATTGAAATAGGAAAAGATTAAAAAAAAAAAAAATTCAAGAATATTCAACAAAATTTTTTTTTTATATATATTTAACTTAAATCCATTAAATATTAATTATATTTCGATACTTTTTATTAACACATTTAAAAAATATATAAAATAATTACTATTTTTCATATATTAATTTTTCTTAAAATATGTAATAAATATTTTAAATTTCGAACATTCTAAAATTATTCCATATTCTTATACAATTTATTTCTTTATTATTTATTTATTTAAATATATATATGAATAAAGAAAACTCCAATTCAATAAATTAAAAATTTATTTCCATTTTTTACAATTAGTTCCCCTTTTTTTTTAATATAGATTAATTTAATGGTAATATCTTGTAAAAATAATACCTTTTGAAACTTTATCATCATACTTTTCACTATTTACAATATATTTTTAAAAAATAAAATATCTCATAATTAATTTGATAAGTATATGAACAATCTTTTAGTGATGCAGTATTAATTTTTTTTTTGTAAAAAACTCAACATTATCAGAACATTATGTAATTTACTCATATAACCTGAATTATCTTTAGATGGAATTTTTATGTTCTATTTTTCTTTAGTTAACAAATAAAGTTATTGTATATTTTTATGNTAACTAAAAATTCAAACATTTTACTGTTAATTTGAATGAATTAGATAATTCCGAAATAATTAATTTATATATTCTTTTTCATATTATTTTAAAAAATTTTGCTACATTAAAAATGATGTTTATATAAAAAATAATTTTTTAACACAATATTTAACAATCTTAAATTTTTTAGTACAATGCCCTATTTATAATAAAACTTGGATACTTATAAAACCATTACACTTTAACCATATTTTTATTAAAAAAGATTTCTATTAACACATGGGAAAAATTCTGGCAATTTATCTAATCCTTTTTCACTAAGAATTACTGCTAATGCTTGTTCTAATTGATCATGTAATAAATTTTCACCATATTTCTTGTCAAAATATAAAATTTTTTTTTTTAATAATTCTCTTTCATTTAACATATCTATTCTTTTTGTTAATGAAATTTGATGAAGTTCTTTTATAAGCTGATGTCTTATTGTAGTTAAAATGAAACGCAAAACAGTAATTTTAATAGGATTTCCGATAGTTCTTTGACTCTTTGTAAATTTTTCATCATTTTTTATTTCACTTAATGAATTATATTTAGAATATTGGTTAATAAAAGGCTTCATTAACTTTTTTGTCTATAAAAGGACTAGCTATGTGGAGAATACATAGTAAGTTGTGCTAACTAAAAAAAAAAAAAAAAAATTATTGGAATTTTTTTTTGAGAAATGTTTTTTTCGAAAAAGATAAAGATAAAAATAAAAAAAATAAAGAGATTTAATTAATTTTTTTTTTTTGGAAGGAGAGAGATTTTTTTTACAAAAGATAATAATGTTTTTGTAAAGCGTTTAATTTGCATAATATTTATATTTTGAATTTATGAGAGAAAATTTTATACATATGAAGATAAAATTTTCACCTAATTAATATTCATATAATTAATTTGCATTTTTAATAATTATGTTTGCTAATTCAACAGCAATATATGTAAATTGCTGAATATAACTTACAACAAAGAGATAATTAAGTTACATTTAATTATTAGTCAATATTCAATAAGGATTTAAATTTTTAATAAAAATAAGGATTTTTATTAAAGTAAATAAATGCCTATTGAAAGTAAAGAATGTTGAACGAAGTAGAGCACGCAGTTAAGAGTTACTCATTCAAAGCATATTAAAGATACATATAAATAGAACAAAATCGTAGAGACACCTCTACATGCTCTTTATTAATTGGTTTGTTCAGTACTCCAGTAAAGTCACCGAACACCCAGTTAATAAATCAAATATCTAAATTTATTTAATAATTTGTTTATTTTACCTAATTCACTTATATTATCTATTTTAATATTATCAACTTCTAATGCTAAACTTACTGCTAATATATATACAATTGATATGAAATTAAAAAAAAATAAAACAATATAAAAATTTTCATCCTGATATAAGAGGTAAATAAAAAATAATGATTTCTTCTCTGATTTAGTTTATTTCAAAACTTTACGTTGAAAACTTATGAAGGAGATAAAACATTTTTATATTATGAATAAACAATTTAAAGAAAAATAATATTTCTTATAATTGGCAAATAAATTTTTTTTAACATACTTGCGATTTATTTCCTATTCAATTTATTTTTTTTCTTAATTTATTATGATATAGGATAATATTTTAAAAAGAATAATGAAAGTATTTCTTTTTCATTATCTTTAATAAATACAAAGCATTTATACTATATGCATTATTCACAATTAAATAGAACAAAAAATATTTAATAATAATATAAAAATAAAAAAAATTTTTAATTTGAATGTTCCGCTAAAATTCTTAATTATGCATGAGTTTCACATATAATTAATTGTTGCATACTTTTTACTTTATTAAAAAATTTTATTTACTTTTATATTTCATCATCGTATTGATATATTATGATTTAATAATATATCATTAAAATTTTACACTTATAATTTTTCTTATAATTTTAGATGTAATTATATATATATTTCTACTATTTCCTTTAATATATACAAGATAGGATAAACATATTTAGTTAAAAATTATATAATTTTTTTGGATTTTTTTGACTTACTTGATATTCTATTTTCTTATCATATATGAATCTAAAAACTACGTGATTTTCTTATTCTAAAAATATATTTAGTATCATTTAAAGAAAAATTTAATTAATATAAATTTAAATACTAAAATATGCATTAAAATGGATATTTTTATTTATCTATATAACGTGGTTAATAAAAGTAGATGTATATTTTTATAGAATTGAAAATCAAATAAAAATTTTATTTGTTTCAAATATTTTGTAATATATTTTTTCAAAAAATTCAGGAAATTAAGAAAAAGAACTGTTACATTTTTATTATTATAACTTTTTTTTTTTTAATTTAGAGGTTAAATATATTAAGAAAAAAGGAGACAAATAAGAGTTTAAAAATATAATTTTTTTCATTCCTTTAAAAAAAAAAAATATAAGAGTACCTATATTTTTCCATAAAAATTAAAATTATAATTAAAACTTTACCAAAGCTCGTAACTTATCTAAATTTTACAATTTATATTGTAAGTATTTTTATAATAAAATATTATATTTTTTACCGTATACTTTCCTTTCCTTCAAAGTAGTTTAAATCTTAGTAAAATTTAAAATAAATGTGGACTATCAAAAAAAAATTATATATTATTTATCTTCTATTTTTTCTATATATTTTTTAATCTTACATGTGTGAAGTATATTTAACTTTTTATATTTATATTTCTACATTTCTAATTACGCTGTTTTTAATTAAATACAATATACACTTCAAATAGAAATAAACATATGCTTTAAGATTAATATAATAAGAAATTACTATTATAATAGATTTTTATTTTTATAATATATATATATATATATATATTTTTTATTTACATTAAAACATAAATTTAACTCTTTTAAGTTTTATATATTTTATTTTTTTTTATATTTTTTCTTTTCTTTCATCACTAATTTAAAATAAAATATATGATTTTTAAATCTTTATATTTATATAATCCTACTTAGGACATACAAAAATTCATAATATATACATAAAATTTTGAAGCATAAATAAGAAATAGAGAAACGTTTTATATTTTGTTAATAGTAATATAACATTATAAATTCAGTAAATATACTTTTTAAAGAAGCCTTTATATTACTTTCTATTATTTTATTTAATTTTTCTTCATATATATATATATATATATATATATCTTGTATTAAAATAAAATGATCCCATCATATAAATGATATCTAAATATTTACAGTAATAATAAAAATAGAATAATAGTACTTGCGTTAATTTAATTGTTATTTAGAACTTATCAATAATAATTTTCTTCAAAAAAAAAAATATATTTTGTACATTTTTATGGTGAATTAATTCAGTGAAGCATTTATTATCACTTAATTGTTTTTTTTTCATTATAAATAATATTTTATAAAATATATATGCATTTCTTTATTTTTATGTTAATTTGTATTCTTCAAATAATTTTTCTTTTTTTTATAATATAAAAAAACATTAAATACATGAAATATATAAATGTATTTCCTTTTAATATATTATTCTAAAAAAAAATACCTATATACTTATGCTAAATTTGCAATCCAGAATCTAAAATAGAGGTGGCATCACATGTGAATACATATGATTATTTCCATATATATTACTTTAATTTTAATTATATTTCAAACTCATTTAAACAAAATCTCTATTACCAATAGACGTTAATATTATTATATAAATTTGAAAAATAAATATTTAATAAAAAAAAACAGCATGTGTATAGAAAACATCTACAAGTTTAAATTCACAAAATAAAAAATAAAAGACTTTATATTTATATTTTATTATTTTATTATTTTTTTTTAATTTAAAAATACATATATTCTATTAAAGCACTAAAAATTTATTATCATGTCATTTTATGAAATAACCATAATTATGTTATAGAAAATTATTGACATCTCATGATATATATGTAGTTATATGAATTATTAAAAAATGTAAATAATTAAAAGTTAAACTTTTTTAACATACAAAAATATATTACTTGTGCGTAAAAGTAATATAATTTTAACAATTTATATAAATAAGGTATATAAATTCATAATATATAGTAATTTTTTTATATAATTAAAAATAGAGAATAAAATAGTAAAAAAGGAAAATAAAAAATAATTTTAAAACAATTTTATATAAAATATGAACTACATTAATTCCTAAAAAATTATATTAAATTTTAACTTCCTAAAAATATGATAAGTACATGATATATATCCATATTGAAATATTTACAAATTTGTAACTTTGTGTTGGTTTCTAATAGAGTTTCATTACAGAGATTTATATTTTAACATTTTTATTAAATTATTACAATTAGAAATGATATAACTTACATAACCTTTTCTAACATAATTAAAAAAGAATTTTTTCATTTCCAAAAGATATTAAATTATAAGTATTGCTATAAACTAAAAAATAATCACAATTATTTCAATGGTTATATATATATATATATTTATTTTATTTTAACATTTTTTATTTCTCTCCTATTTCTTTTTATATAATTTACGTTTGCATGAGAATAGTTTTAATTTTAACTTTCTTGAAAAATTTAATGTTATATATATTTTTGTAATCTTATTATTTCATTAAAAATAAAATAAGTGGATCCGTAATCGTTAATATAATGCTATTAATTATATTAAAATAAAAACTAAATAATTGTTACTTTGTTTAGTTCTATTTAATGTCTTGATTTATAATAAACATCATTTTCATGTGTAATGGCAGCTATCACTATTTATGTTTATTTCTTTTCTCATATAATTATACTCAGTATTATATAATTATATATTTTCAATATCTTTTTACTATTGTTTGAATATTGTTTCATATTAATTGCAATTATGTTTTATTTATTTTTAAAAAAAAATTTTTATCCTTTAAAATTTTAGGTTTTTCAAAATAACTACATGTAATTTTATATTTTATACATAAATATTTTTATATTTTAAATTTAACGATTTCAAAAATTCATTTATTTTTGAAATTCTCATTATTTTTTTCAAATACATCACTTAGAATATGTGTATGCTTTCTTTAATGAATACATAAAAATTATCATAATATTATTATTATTAAATTTGGAAAAAAAAATAAAATGTTAATTTATTCATNAAATTTAATTTTTTTAAGAATATTCAAAATTAGAATAAATAGGAACTTAATATGCTTTAAATTAAAAACAATATTAAAACGAATTTTATAAAGGTTTATAAAAACAATCTAATAATATTTCTGTGAACTTCATTAATGGTGTAATTTTTAAAGAATACTTTTTTTTCATTATACGTTTTAACTATTTCCTAGAAAATTATATTAATATACATTTAAATAAATAATAAATTCGAAAATATAAAAATTTAAATACTCTTTAATGGAAAATAGAAATGTTTTTATTTTTTCTATAAAAAGAACAATTAAAATTCAAAAAGAAACATAAAATAAAAAGGGGTCTTTATATTTTATGTAGATCTTTTATGATGAATTACAACCAAAATCTAAAACCATAAAAAAAAATTATTCTCTACTTATTTTTATTTACTATCACTAAATTATATTCATTTTAACATTTTATTTTTTCTAAATTTATTAAAATTAAAATTGTATAAGAAATAAGATAAAAATTACATGATGTTAAAAATCAAATATTCACTTTATTTTAATGAAATATATCAAAAATTCTAAATATGAATTTTATTAAAATAATTATCAGATACTATTACTAAAATAAGCTAATAAAGATAAATTATTATAGATGAAATACAAAAAAAAAAAAAAATTCTGTAAAAATCATTATTTTTAAGTTAACCTAGTACTTAAATTATTTAAATTCAAAATAATCTTATATTCTTTTATATTAATTATAACGTGCAAATTAATTAAAATAATAGCATATTGCATGTTGATATTTTTTTTGTTAAAATATTTTTTTTTTCAAATGCAATTATATATATTTATGTATATCTTATTTTTTTTTTCTAAAGAATTTTAATAAAAAAAAGTTTTAATAATAGTTTTACATTATTTTCTCAATGTTTTTACTAAAAATAATGGAATTTTATTATCTTTTATCCATTATAAAAAAAAGTAAAAAAAAATTAGGTAATAAAAAAAAAAAATATATAGAAATATTTTAATAAAAGTTTCATTTTATGTATGATTTTAATTTTTCTAACTCTTAAAGTATTTTTTTTTTTTTGAAAATTTTGTTAAAAAAAAAGGTTCAATTTTAAAATTTGATATTTAATGGTAATTTTTTTATAATGAAAACTGATTATAAATTTGTTATAGTTTAGTTATTTGTTTAAAAAAGTATAAAGGTTTGGAGGTTAAATATGAAAATTTTTTTTTTCTTTTCTAATTTATTACTACTTTTAATCTATAGCCTTTTTTTCATAATTAATATATTTTCCTCCGTTTTTTATTTTTTAAATTATACATACTAATCATTAGAGGAACGAATTGAAAATCATTAAATAATTCTTTTTAATAAAAATAAATTATTTTGCCTTGTAAAAATATAGTAATTATAAATGGAACCTGAAGAAAATTATGATCCACATTCCTTTGAGGATGATGATTCTATTCAAAATTCTTATGTTGCAATACGTTCAAGTGATCAAGATAATTATGAATCTCTTCATTCTAATTTGCGTATTCCAAATCAAAATGAATTAAATATAGAGGAACAAAATGTTATTAGTATCAATTCACAGGAAAACGAAGAAGTATATATTCGAAATAACATACCACGGAGTTTTATTGAATCTTTTTTAAACAATATTGCTTTCTTATCTACTTTACTTTTCTTAATCGTAATAGTAAGTTGAAATTTATTTATTTAAAATGTGTGTAACTTTTTTATGTAGATTTCGTATTTTCATTTAAATTAAATTTCTCTAAATATTAGGAAAAATGTGTTTTTAAATAACTGTTATTTTATATTGCAGCATTTTTTACTAAGTTGTTATCGTGGTTTTAGGAGATTTTATAGATAAAGATTAGATAACGACAATTGTAATACAGAACAAAAGAATCATACATCAAATATAAATAATGAGGAAGAACAATGAAAAAGGTAAAAGAAAAAAAAAATTTCAAAGGAGATAAATTAGAATATATAAGATTTAATAAATTCATATGGAAAAATGTATCTCTTATGTAGGAAAAATGAAAACATAAATATATGAAAAATATTAATGAGAAAATCACAGAGATATAAAAATTTTGTGGAAATTTTTAATGAAATATTTGGTCTTTTCATTAATATGTATGTAGTGTAAGCACATATATTTTGTTTATTATTTCATACAATGTAATATAGAGTTTCGGTCACAGTATGATTTGTCCTTTTCCCTTTCCAACACTTCCGTAAGATTTTCATTAAATAATTAGATGAAGAAATTGTAGATGAATATCCACTACATTTATTAGTTTAATTGATATTTTTATTAATTTTAAACTATAATTTTTTGTTTTTACAGTTTTTTAAAACATGCAATTTTTGGATTTTAATATTTATGTAAAATATAATAATATAGTAACTCTTTATATTTTTATTATTCCTCTTGATATTCTTATAAAATACATTATTTATATATTTCCTTTTTTCAAAAAAAAATCCATACGTTTGTTAAATTTTCTCTCAACATTTAATTCATCATTTCTTTATTTATATAAGAAAGAAACGAATTTTTACTATTTTATTTTATTTGATAACTAAATTTATATCAACATAAAAATATGTATGAACAAATATAGATATATGAGATATATTTATTCTCAATTTAATTGTCACCCAAATATAGTAATGTTTATTTGTAATGCAAAACATATCTAAAAATGCTAATATATAGTTTTATTTACCATAACTTAACGAATAGAAAAAAATGATTGAAAGAAATTCCCATGAAAAAATATTTTCTTTGGATTTATTTATAATTTTTAGGTTTCTCTGTATGTCTTCATATATTTTTCTCATTGTTAATTATCATTCAAGGACGATCATAAAATCTTTTGTTTTTCATAAATACCATAATAATTCATGTTTGAATTTATGAGAAATTATCCTCATTAATTTCTTCCCAATTACTTCAATAAAGTTTTTATTTTATATGTAATAAATATTTCTGCATTTAATATAGACAATTTAATCTTTTTTGGATGAATCTAAAATTCATTTCAATAATATATATGAATAAATTATAAAAATGTATTTAAATTTTCTTTTATTATACAAGGAAAAAGGGGGGCTAATGTGATTTATATTTTTCACTTCGATTTTAATGATTCCTTCTATTTTCTTCATATATAGAAAAGTCACATGAGATAATATTGAAATCAATGATATCCTTATTTTTAACCATTAATTTTTAAGTTTACTTAAATTATTATTTGCGAAGTTTCATTTGTTATTCAATTTTCATTTCTAATATACTTCAAGTAGTACTATAAAAAATCTAGGTATATATAATTAGTTCCAAAATGCATAATATGTCATTTCTACTATTCCTCTTTTTGGTTTATTGTTGTAAACCAATTCCATATCCTGCATTATTTCTTTAAAAGTCTCTCCTTTTTTTAACATATGATGCTAGCTATATGCTTAAGATTTTTTTGAAAACTGCCATTCATACATTCCCCTTGTAGGTAATATGCATTATTATTATAAAGTCTTATTTTTGATTTTTTAAAAAAAAATAATTTAATAAAATCTTTTTATTATTTTTAAAGTATCAATTGTATTTAAATAAGTAATTATTTAATTTAAAAAAAAATGATCATTATTCCTATTAAAAATGAAATCCTCATTTTAAAAACCTTTGATTATATATAAAATAATCTTTTTATGATTTTATGTTTTCCACAATGATATATTTTCATACAAAAATAATATAATTTATCAAAAATTAACCCCTACTATTGATTAATATAATTCACTGAATATTAAATAATAATTTTTTAATTAAAATTAACTAAAAATAAGTAAAATTCATTTCCAAAATGAACATTTCTTTTTTTTCTATAAATATTTATATCCATAAAATATCATGTTTAATATTAATAATAAGATATTTTCTTAATAACATGGTATCCACTACAAATCGTTCACTTTTATATTATATTATGAATTCATGCATTTAAAAAGGTTAACAGCTAATTTAATAATTGACTATTTAATGGCTTTCAACAAGTAATAAATAATGAAATTAATAAAGAGTATATAGAATTATCTGTACTTAATTTACTAATTATAGCTTATATTTTAAAAGAAAATATATATATATGTATTTGTATACTAATTTATTAATTTGACGTGAAATAATGAAATAATTACTTTATTTCATATAACTTTTAAAATGTAGTCATAAAATAAATTTGCAGCTTCATATATTTTATTATTCTTATAAATTTTAATTATAAAAGAAAATTTTATATAGTTCTATGAAAAAATTTAAGAAAAGTTCATGAAATATTTAAAGTATATTCTCAATTAATAATAAATAAATTATTACTATAAAAATTTTGTGATTTATTAAACATAATAATTTTATAAAATACATTACTCTTTTATTTCACACAGAAACCTTCTTTTTTCTTTCTAAATATAATTATAACAAAAAACATTAAAAAAATTATATCCCCTTATAAATGAGATAAAAACGAACTAATAAAAGTACATCTTAAAGTTATATATATATATTTCTGAAGCTTTCGATTCACACAAGGATAATTATGACTTTTTGAAACACTTACAGAGAGTCCAAAAATAGAAATTCAAATAATTATTATAATGGTAATTGCATATAAATAGGTGATAGTTCTTTTAGTTACATTTATTAGCATTAAACATGAGTTATAATCAACATTTACTTGTATAAAATATTCTTCATATTTCTATATTTTATATTCTAAAACATAAAGCAAAACTACATAGAATGCATTACGTTTTTATCATATTTGATACCTATTAGATTTACATCGTTTTATGCGAATTACTTTGGAACCTAAACAATTTATTAAGTGTTATTTAACATCATAACTAATATTTTATAACTGACTTTTTAACTTATTATCAATTTTTTTTGAAGTATGTTAAACAGTTAAATTAATTAAAAGCATGCTGAGTAATATGTACTAATATTAATTTTTATGATATTACTTATAGATCATATGTAATCCTTATATGAATACTACATATAACGGAAAATAAACTTATTCTATGACAAATTTAAATTTCTTTAGTTTTGAGTTAATAAAAGGAATTATTAACCTTTTTGATAATAAAAAGCAATAGCTGTGTGAAAAATGAATAACTGTGCATGCGGTAGATAAAAAAAAAAAAAATTTTAATTTCTTTTTTGTTTTCTTTTCCTATTTAAAAATATATAAAAGATAGCATTATTCTTTTTGAAAATTATTTAATTGATTGAAAAAGAGAAGGAAAAGTTTTTCATTAAAGAGTTTCTTTGCAATAGATCTTTGTTTAAATTTATATAAGAAAATTTTATATTAACAAGAATGAAATTTTTGTATTTTGTAGTATTTATATAATTAATTTGTTAACTGGGTCTTCCGTGACTTCACTAGAGTATTGAATAAACGAATTAATAAAGAGCATGTAGAGTTGTGTCTACGATTTTGTTGTATTTATATGTATTTTTACATGCTTTGAACGAGTAATTATTAACTATGTTCTTGACATCGTTCAATATTCTTTACTTTCAATAGGCATTTATTTACTTTAATAAAAATCCCTATTTTTATTAAAAATTTAAATCCTTATTGAATATTGACTATTAATTAAATGTAAATTAATTATTTTTTTGTTATAATTTATATCCACCAATTTACATATATTGCTGTTGATATAGCAAACATAAACAATTATTAAAAATGCAAAAAATTTTATGAATACTAATTACGTGAAAATTTTATTATCATATGTGTAAAATTTTCTCTCATAAATTTAAACTATAAATATTATGCAAATAAACTTCTTACAAAACATTATTATCTTTTGTAAAAAAAATCTCTCTCTCAATTAAAAATCGCTCTTCTTTTCCTCCAAAAAAAAAAATGAATAATAAATCTTTTTTTTTATTTTTTTTTTTTTTTATCTTTATCTTTTTCAAAAGAAACATATCTCAAAAAAAAATTCCAATAATTTTTTTTTTTTTTTTTTTTTTTTAGTTAGCACAACTAATTACGTATTCTCCACATAGCTAGTCCTTTTATAGCCAAAAAGGTTAATGAAGCCTTTTATTAACCAATATGTTATTTTTGGTCAAAAATAATCTCTTATATGTAGTATATTTATATATATTGATTATTAATAATTATTTATTTCTATAAAATTAGAAAAAATTACTAAAATTTTTTGTTTATTATTTTTTCTCTCTATAAATATAAAATATATAAGAAAAAACATATTCTAAAAAAAATTAAATTTTTTTTTGGTTTATTTTTTTTATTCATTGCTTCAAATATCTTACATGTACAACTGAATATTTAGCTATATTCTATTTCATTCTATTTAAAGTGCAAAAATATCATCAATTATTTTTATTGATCATATAACTAATAATTTTTTATGTACCTATCATTAGTAAAATGGTCAATAAATAGTATTATCAATCTATTTTTAATTATATTAAGAGTAATTATAAAATTTATAAAGTTTAACTTGTGCATGTAAGCTATATGTTGTAAATTCCATATTAAAATGTACGCATTATAATTCTTGGATTTTAAAAAAAAGTGTATAGTAAAAATATGAAAACTACATTATATGTTTTGATAAATTAATAGAAGGAATTATTAACCTTTT